ATCTTACTAACTATTAATAAGCAGCTAATAAGGAGTTTATTGAGGGAAACTAGTGAATATGTGTTCCTCAATCAAAGTTGTTATCGATTATCCTATTTAAATCAATGTGATAAACAAGTTAGGTCAAAAGTAATCTAAAAGTATCAAAAAGTAATCTGATTATATTACTTTGCTAACCCTTGTGGTTTCGTCTACATACTCATTGCAATGCAGTCATCCTCATTGAAATCAACACAGTATTCTCTAAACTCTAATCTGTGGACTAAATCTGAAATCTTATTTACATTTTAAAGGGGTCATATGATGCTATTTTAAAGATCATTATTTGGAATAAACTGATAGATATTTTGATTTTTTTGCCACTAATAAAAATTTGCAGTCTGCTACTTTGTTATCATGACTTTACTTCCTTATGCCCTGAAATTGTTTTAATTTTCCAATCATGTGCAATATGCATCTGAATGAGCATGAATGGAAAGACCGATGTTAAAATGGCATTGGCTGCGTCCGAACACTCTAAAATGCTCCCTTCGGTGGCAGCATTCTAAGGCAAGAAGGCAGCAAGGCACGTCCGAATCCAAATTCTGCTTTACTTCCTGTCTCCGGAGGTACCTTCTTCTGATCGAATTTTGAAGACAGTATAGATGTATCGTTCGCTGCCTTTGATATCCCACAATCCTGTGCGTTCCATTCCGTGACGGTTGAGCTAAAAAATAAAGATGGCGTCTGAAAGTTGTGTTTGGTGGTCAGTTTGTGACATGCTATCAATGTACTAATTCAAGTTAGCAACATGCTAATCATGGTATCAATGTGCTAAAACATGCTAGCAATGTATTAAATAATGCTAACATGTTAAAACATGCTAACATGCCAATCATGCTAATAATATACTAGCAACATGCTAATCATGCTAGAAACATGGGCTGAGTCTGAAAGCTCTAAAATGCTGCCTTCGGAGGCAGCATTTCAAGGCATGAAGGCATCAAGGCACGTCCGAATACAAATTCTGCTTCACTTCCGGTCTCTGGAGGTACCTTCTTCTGATCGAATTTTGAAGGCAGCATAGATGTATCCTTCGCTGCCTTTGATATCCCACAATCCTGTGCGTTCCATTCCATGACGGTTGAGCTAAAAAAATAAAGATGACGTCTGAAAGTAGCATTTGGTGGTCAGTTTGTGTTTAAATGTATGTTTCTGACTAACTTTTTGCACTTTTGATGTTATTTCTAGCGAGAAATCAGTATTATAGTAATTAAATATTCGTTTAGTTATCACAAAAACTTGTTCTATTTTGTTGTAGATAATTAAAGCGTTACGCTGCCTCAGAAGCCTGTCCAAAATCAGTTTCATGAGGTGCCTTCGTGCAAAAACGCTGCCTGCAAAGTCATTGCCTCATACTGCAGCGAGGCAGCAAGCCAGCTGCCTAAGTTTTCGGATGCAGCCTTAGATTTAGATAGTTAATTTGTAGGGATGTAACGATTAACCGCGAGCCAGTTGAAAATCGATTAAAATATGTGACGATTCAAATCGGTTGAAATGCCGAACAAATCGTGATTCATTTAGTTGTAGGAGTTTATATGAATGTATGTCTGAGGGGAACTTACTGTCTTTAGCAATAATATGCAAGTGCTATATTAGTATATTATTATTAAGAAATGTGCAGCATTTTGTCCAAGCAATAATAAAAGGACACATTTAATTTATAATTTGTCTTAAATCTCATTTAGTAAAAAAATTAAATAAAATCGTGAATCGAATCGTGAGTTGAGTGAATCGTTACATCCCTATTAATTTGTATTTGTTCTAAAAGAATTACTTGACACAATGTTCAGGAAAATGTTGTCAGCTAGTCCATCTTACTTCCATCAGGTTCACAGTGAAGTGTCTGCTAATCTAATGGCACAACTTGCCTATTTATCGTCCTCATGCAGATTGTGATAGATGCTAGTAGGATGCAGAAATGTGCTGCATGGAAGCTCATGGAGCCGGAGCTGATCATTTATGCAGCTGTACTGAGCTTAAACTTTACTCACATTATTAACCCAGATGCTGCAAAACCAGCACCAGCAATCAAATGCAGGCAAACCACTAATTCAATGAGAAACAGCAAAGAGCCTCTGCCAAAAATACTAATCTAATTTGTGAACGGGAGTATGACACAGGATGAGCTAAAAAATAGGGGCATCGGGATATTTTCTTATCTGCTAAATGAAAAGGAAGCTTTCTTTTTAAAACCATTTTCGAAAAGGACTCAAGATGTCAGCGTGAAATGCAGGCGATGAATAAGGCATTGTGTTTCTTCTGGAGTGAGGTTTTATTGAGTTACGTGTGGAGTGGGTGAATTCAATCAACTTGGAGGTTTTGTTTGTGTTTCATTCTTAAATATAAGAAGCACCTAAAGGAGATACGCACTGCTGTTTTTCAAATGTGCCTTCTGTTTCAAGTGGAGCACTGTGAAAAAAAAAACAACTTCATGGAATATTAATACAGAACAGAGATGCAGATTGTAAAATCAACTTTGCGGCAGGAAAGGGTCAAAAATATATTTAAGGAGTTAGTTGTGTTTGCTAAGTCAAGCATCACTATCACAATTGCTTGTAGTTAAGGTTAGTGATTAAACAAACTCCTAACCCTAAGAACTTCAGCCGTCCCGCACCATTTGTGCTGCAGACATGAATGATATTCCATTTTGTGTGGCTTGTTGTGCTATTACTTTTCTAAAAAGCCAGAACACCCTATAGCAACTTTAGTACAACATGCTATGAAAAGCACAGGACATCAACCCCTCGCAACCACACACAACACCTGTTTTGCACAGGTAAACAACATCTCGTTTAGCATTCATATTTAAGAAAAAATAACATATCAAACTCATGTATCATTTCTCAATGCAGCTGTCAAAATATAATTCTTAGATCTATATCCTCTTCGCTAAAATTTATGCTGAAACTTTTCTTTCTGAACAACGAAAAAAAAAGAGACAGAACACAATAACATGTTTTCTTTGTGTCAGACGACTTTCCCAGACTAATGATCTGTGCAGATTCACATATGGCAATAACAGAGGCTGGAGTATCATCCCCAGAATGAACAAAACTCCAGATCTTTTCATCAGATTTGGCAGATTTAGTGGTTAAGGCTTTTGGACCTGTAAACGGGTTCATTGCTGGTGTGAGCCCCATAAGGGAATGTCCCGTGAGCTAGCGACATTATGCTTTTGATCAAGACACTAACACAAGCTAAATGCTAAATCTGCCCCTGAAGTAAAACAACACACTCTTTATGTACCTGTCCTTACACAAAAACTCCACTCTTCACCACAGTTGTGACCCAGTGTAAGTGAAATTGTTCAAAATGTAATATTAAACACTATCAAATATCCCCCTTTTCCCATCTTACTCAAAAACACAAATATAATACTTACATCATAATATTTCAACATTGTTACTCGCCCATTAAAGGCAGAGTAAGCGATTTCTGGTAGCCAATGTTGATATTTGAAATCACCAAAACAAACACGCCCCTACCCCAAAAGGGTCTTGCCCCTATTTTGATAGCTCTGCCCCACATATACGTACGCAACCCAGGCAACGATTAGTTCTGTGAAACAAAGCAAAACCAATGTTACACCGTGTCTACGGACGTGAGCGGCGCGGCAAGGAAACTGCTGCCGGGTTTTATTTATGACGTGCTGACACAAATTTCAAATGGTTTTCAACAGTCGTTTGATCGCATGCAGAGCATGCCAGAAACTACAGTTTTCTTTAAAATGTTATTTAATGTAGGTCAGTATAATTTAGCTTTTTACAACTTAATTGAACCATAGACAAATGCTAAATTAGCTATACTATAGTATAACATTCATTAAGATAAAACCAAAAACATTTTGTTAGTCAATATTTAGTTTACTATAAATAAAGATGACTTTGAAAAACCTTAATGTTTATTGTTATGTCTTTTTAAAGTATGCATCATATTTTAAGTACTAGCAAAAAAGCAAAACAAAACAAAAAACACCAAAAAATAAATAAACAAACAAAACCCACAATAATTTATGCAGTGAGTAAAGCTAGTCAGCATTTGTTTGTTTGTTTGTTTGTAGTGAGTTCAAGGTGCAGTCCTGTAAACAAACTTAACTTCCCCTTGTTGTCTGACTATAAATAAAGTTTGTGACTCATCATTGAAACCAGCTCAGATTCAGGTGCCACTCCCAATCGAGTGTAAACAGTCCCATTATGTCAAGTTATATTGATGATATCCATAGCAAACAATTGTGTCAGTATGAGTAAATAAAGTAAAGAGATCGCATCACAGGTAACAATAACAAACATAATTTTAACTCCAGTGACTATACACAATAAATGAAGCATGTGTTGGTTCCCCCTGCAAAATTTGACCATATTATGGTATCATTTTTGGGGTGTTTTTTAACGTTTTGCTATAGGGTGTTGTGGGAGGTCGCCAGAGTTGCTGTACCGAAGATGTTGCTATGCAGTTACTATGTTCTACTTTGCTAATGTAGTTGCACAAAGGTGCTGAGTGCTTTTTAGCATGTTACTATGTGATTGCTGGGATGTTTTATGTGGTTGTTGCTAGGGGGGTGCTAAAAATGATACTTCTTTAAACAAAGCACTAAATCTAAATACAAAGCAGATTGTCTTAAAACTTAATAAGCCTGTACTGTCTCCATTTACTGTCTCATGTAACATTTTAACAAACTCAGCTCCACACTTCCTGATGAAACTTGAACTTGGTGAATATATGGGGAGTTTTACCATCAAGCTGAACACTCGTGATGGTTGAATGCACAAGACACTGATGTCGTTTCAGAGCAGAGGTGGCTGAACTGGTTTTACCTGAACAGTTGGTCTGTAGAAGTATGCAAATTATGTGTGTAGTGTGTTTTGAGAGCAGTGGAATAAACGCAGTCTAGCCCACACATCGCGCCTGTTTCTGAATACTTCAGTTTCCCTGGGGAAATCATTCTTCTGACAGTTTCCAATGTGGTCCGCTTTGAGAAATGACTACTGTGCCGCATAAAGAACAAATGATATGGGAAGAGAGTGATGGTACGTACTGCATATACTGTGAGATTTAAGACGTTGCGCTGTGTGCTTACTATGATAGAGAACTACATGTTTTTTGTAAGTGTGGAAATGTCCTGTATCCATACACTCTCACAATTGCGATTTTATATCTCACTTATATCACGCAATTCTGAGAAAAAAAAAAAAAAAGTCAGAATTTTGAGATAAAAAGTCTCAATGAGTCATGACCTTTTTAAAAATGTTTATTTAGTGGCAGAAACAGGCTTCCATAATTGCCAGGGTGTCTCTGTGTGGTTGCTAGGGTGTTCTGGGTTGCCACTAGATGTTATTATTATTATAAATATTATCATTAAATATAATATAAAACAATAAAAATAGAACTATTATAATAACACTATTGTAAAATAATATAAAAAAATCAAGTATTGAATAAATTGTACAGTTCCACTAAAATCACAATACCACGCCAAGTCAATTTTTTATTATTATTTATTTATTTTTATTTTTTTGTATAGCACTTTCCACAATACACATAGTTTCAAAGCAGCTTTACAGAAGATCGCGATGTTAATATTATAATATATTAATATATAAATGCTTTATAGTTGCATTTAGCAGATTAGAGCCGGGCAGTAATTTAGTTGTGCTATGATAATCAAACAATCAAACAATTGAGATTTGCTATCTATTGCCATACGTGACTGAATGTATGCTGATAAAGAAGGACATACTTATATATCCCAAAAGATTTTTTAAAGCGTTATGCAATAATATAGTTCACTTTTTGCAACAATATAAACATTCACAAACCCGAGATTGGCTATATATAACTATGTGAGTGTACTGTATGCAGGTCAGGAATGGTGTATTATTATGTATCCAACTTTTAATATCACTAGGCAATAATATAGCCAAGCAGTTGCCTTGACTCTAAATTTCTTCATTTTCAAACGTTAAACCATCAAACTTTTATTTATAAAACCACAGGGAATTGTTACAGTTTTTCCTTTTTTTGGCAACAGGTTTATAAACGTTTCTCAATACAAATCTAGTGAAAAGGGTGCTGTTACAGTACAGTGATGCTGGCCTCATTAAACTCCAATAATAAATGCAGGTTTTAATGATGCACTGGCTGTATTGGGCTTAAACTGACGTATATGATTGTATTTAAATTCACACACTTGACATGCCAATGTCACAATTAAGAAAGCACATTTTTTGCCACGCAAGTTTCCTTTTCCCCTTGTTGGGTTATAGGTCATGTTTAATGCATTAGAGCCACAGTGATATCAAATTACCCCGTGCTTCCTGTGTGTGCTCTCACTAACACACAGTGGGGGTTTGTCACTGAGTGCAATAGGCCAACAACCGAAGACATTTGCCTCTTTTATTCCAGCATGGGAATTCTCTCAGATGATGTAGGATTTCTGTGCTGTAGACGTAGGTTTGCCTGTGGGGGATCACTCAATAAATGCTGCTTTATGCACGCTGACAAAGAGAACCCAGAAACCATTGTGTGCAGCCAGGACTTGGTTAGTGTCATAATTTTTGTCTTTATGGAAAACATTCATTGTTTCCATGAACCCTTGTTTTCGGAGTTCGCCGTAGTCACCCCTCTATAGATGTCCCAGGCCATCAGAAAGCTTTGAAATAAATGTTCAGTATCTTTTCATGTTTTTTTGGCCTAGAAAGGGTTTTAGCAATTGGCAACTGAATGTGAAGGGAAAATGGGAGATGAAATTCAAAGCAGCTTAGTGGAGTGATGCAGATGGGATTTCTCTTCCCAAGCAATGGGTACAGGAAGCTGGCAGAGAGCAGGCGAGCGCTACAATCTGCTCCAGCAGAAATACTGAAGTGACCTACTTCCTCTGGCTGCTGAATGAATCTCAACCATCTTCATGCAGAATCTGAGGAGCCTGATGGTGAACTCAAACACTGCTGGTGTTCGCGTTTACACATTTTTTGGTTTTAATACTTTTTGTCCAATATCGTTGTGTCATATTCATTTATTTTTAGTCCATTGTACACAGGCCTGAATGGCATATTACTGTAGTTGACAATAATGCACAAAACAGTGCACATGAAAATCAGCAGTGTTGGGGAAAGTTACTTTTAAAAGTAATGCATTACAATATTGCGTTACAAGAGTATCTTAGCTTCTTATTTCTTAGTTATTAATTTTCAGTGTTTCAGAGACTTTAAGATAAAGCATTACTACATTTAGCACTTTACAACATAATGCATTATATGAAGTATTGATGCTGTCAGTTACACATACTGACTGCTACATAACTTAGTTCACGTTTACCTGTGCTTTCACTTCATTGCAGATGAAGTGGATATATTTGATTAATTTCATATGTGTTGTATGCATTTGAGCATTGTTGGGGGTAACTCATTACAAGTAACACGGGTTACATAATCGGATTACTTTTTTCAAGTAACTAGAAAAGTAACACTTTTAAATTTACAAGAAAATATCTGAGTTACTTTTTCATACAAGTAAACCCAGTTACTTTGATTTCCCATTTATTCACTGACACCTTGAAATTGGGAGGCTTATTAGTTTCACTTTTAGTGTGAAAGGGCCTTTGCAACAACATGGCTGTTGTTATTTCTTTCTCTCAGTCTTGACGGCACACACATAGACCATTCATGGACTACCTGATGTCTTTTGAACACTTAAATGTTGCTGAAATTGCGACCACCTATTTGTTTGGCTAGTACTATACAAATTCCCGATGACCTACTACTTCCGCCGTGATTCTGTAGTGCAAATCCAAAGGACAATTCATTAACAGTCGTGAATGGCAGGGAAGTAACATGAAAATGCCAACATGCTGGTTGTAGTCCATTCTTATTGCATTTATACTACACTCATACAACCACATAGACCATTCATGGACTACCTGATGTCTTTTGAACACTTAAATGACAAGATGTTGCTGAAATTGCGACCACCTATTTGTTTGGCTAGTACTATACAAATTCCCGATGACCTACTACTTCCGCCGTGATTCTGTAGTGCAAATCCAAAGGACAATTCATTAACAGTCGTGAATGGCAGGGAAGTAACATGAAAATGCCAACATGCTGGTTGTAGTCCATTCTTATTGCATTTATACTACACTCATACAATACAGAACATATTTTTTAACAAACACATTAAAATGTAGTAGCTACTCTGACAGTGTGCGAAGTCAGACACAGACTACAATGAATGCTTCTGAACTAGTCTCTGGGTTTTACAAAGTTTTTGAGGTTCATGACCTCATATCTTTGAAAACAAATGGGAATATGCAGGTGTTCTCAAGGTTATACAGTTTTTTTTACAATAATTTTTGCACTAATAACAGAACCTTCATGTCATTTTTCAAAACTCTAGACACATAATTCACAACCGAGGATCGCTCAGAAAAACGCTTAACACTTTTTCCAAATGCAAATTCCAAATCACCGGTTCAAAATGACACAACTTAACATCAAATTATTACTATTTCAAAATGCAACTCACACATTACATCTGCATTGAGTGTCTATTCATTTCATTACAATGGTCTAACTATCAATTGATACAACTGCTCAAAATGCTACATAACTGTTGCATTACTCTTGAAGCATAGTTTTTATGGAAAATTATTAAGAATATTAAATGTTTAGATTATGAAAGTGAAGCAACTGAGGACTGAGTATGTTCAGGTATGATCAGTTTCAAGATGCCTGTTGTTGGGAGAAAAAAAATCCCCAAAAATTCTATATCATTGTTATCAGTATTTGTTTTTTCCTACAATAAATGTCTTTTTAGAGGGTGATAGAGCTGGAAGCTGATGAAAACCATTAATATTTTTGAAAAAGGTAGGCTTTAACCTGGCCATGACATGGAGGAGAGGTTGAGAGCGGCCCAGAATGATGTTCGCTGGGGGGCCCGACCACCCCCCACTGAATGTGATTTTGAGGGGACCCCATAGCAAAATCAGTGCAATGGCCCCAGAATTCCTAGCGACGGCACTGAGAGCAATCATGGTTTCAGGCCCATCCACAGTTTATTACCTTGTATTTACCCCATACTCCCCTTTGCTTACTGTAGCCCGACTGAGGAATATTTATCCACATGGAGGTGGAAGGTTCACAATTATAGGCACCCTCACAAACAAGCCCCTCTTCTCCAGGCCATAAATGCAATGCAATGATATCACAGGAGGAGACTAATGTCAGGCCTGTATTGGCCATGCCAGAAGATACAGATTTTCCAAGATATTTAGCTAATGAAAACATCCATTATGAGTATTTGTTTTTTCCTACAATAAATGTCTTTTTAGAGGGTGATAGAGCTGGAAGCTGATGAAAACCATTCATATTTTTGGGTGAGGCAGGCTTTAACATGGAGGAGAGGTTGAGAGCGGCCCAGAATGATGTTCGCTGGGGGGCCCGACCACCCCCCACTGAATGTGATTTTGAGGGGACCCCATAGCAAAATCAGTGCAATGGCCCCAGAATTCCTAGCGACGGCACTGAGAGCAATCATGGTTTCAGGCCCATCCACAGTTTATTACCTTGTATTTACCCCATACTCCCCTTTGCTTACTGTAGCCCGACTGAGGAATATTTATCCACATGGAGGTGGAAGGTTCACAATTATAGGCACCCTCACAAACAAGCCCCTCTTCTCCAGGCCATAAATGCAATGCAATGATATCACAGGAGGAGACTAATGTCAGGCCTGTATTGGCCATGCCAGAAGACACAGATTTTCCAAGATATTTAGCTAATGAAAACATCCATTATGATGTGGATAAAAACCTGTGACCAAATCCACAAGCAGTGAGGAACAATCCAGTTGACATTTTACTGTAGGCCTACTGTAGTTTTTTCTTATCTTTGTTTCTTATCTAATTTTTTCTAATTTAAAGTTTTTTGAAAAAACTGTTGTGAGTTGATTGTTTCATTAATAATTTTCTAATTTTGTAATGATTCAAGTGTCTGTACTTTTCTCTCTAGTCTATTACAATGGTGTATGAATGTGTAGAACCATAATGAAAGCTGCATCATGTGTTTTCAACAACTATATTTAATGATTGTACTAAAAACTACACAGTGAAACTATGGGTATCTTGTGTGTGGCTGATCTAAAGTAATGATCCTATGATATTCCATAATAAATGAGTTTTTTGAGCCAATGCTTCTGCAAATTCAAGGCTTCTTTAAAGATATGAGCGCAATATGCAAAGTTTTGAACATTGGACAGCCTGTGTTAAAAATAATGACTGTTTTGAGTTTTGTGTCTAGAGTTTTGAAAAATTACATGAAGGTTCTGTTATTAGTGCAAGAATGATTGTAAAAAACTGTAAAATGGTAAATGTTGTTGGTCACTTTACATGTCAGTTTGTGTCAAAGTGGGAGGTTTTTGGCAGGGGCTCTAGCAACTATTATCATTTAGTAAACCAACTAAGTTTGTCTCACACTTTGAGAGATAATCATACTTTAAAAGTTTTTTTTTGTATGGAGCCCTGCACATGGCATGCAGGAAAAAAATTGTAGGCTAAATCGTGTGCACGAATTACTATTTCGTTCCCTCGATTTATAAATTGTGCACACGATTTACTAATTCGTTCCCTCGATTTATAAATTGTGCGCATGATTTACTAATTCGTTCCCTCGATTTATAAATTGTGCGCATGATTTACTAATTCGTTCCCTCGATTTATAAATTGTGCGCATGATTTACTAATTCGTTCCCTCGATTTATAAATTGTGCGCATGATTTACTAATTCGTTCCCTCGATTTATAAATTGTGCGCACAATTTACTAATTCGTTCCCTCAATTTGTGCACGATTTAGCAAATCGAGGGAATGAAATAGTAATCGTGTGCACGTTTTAGTACATCGGGGGAACGAATTAGTAAATCGTGCGCACGATTTATTTATTTTTTCTTGCATGTCAAGTTTTGCATTGTCATAGTGTGAAAAACCAAATACAACACAGAACAACCACTTTAAGACCGAGCAGAAGCCTCTGTCAATGGCAACATCTGCAGTGGGCTAAAAGAATCAAAGTCCCTTTCAAAGAAAGTCTGTTCACTCGGCAGCCATATTTGCAACGCCTCCAGACAGCTATTTCAGGCATCCAAAACCACACACTATCTGCTTGAATGGGGAAATCTGGATTAAATTAAATGACATATTTCAGATCAGCAACAATATGTGACATGAACTGCCCCATAAACATTTCTTATGCTCACACAGCATTAAAAAAGCTTATATTTCAGGCTGAATCAGCCAATGCGCATTTGCAGTCCTAACATCCGTCTCGGGGCACTCACAGTTTTTATGCTCCTAACAGCAGCTGCAGTGACGCGATGACTTTACCAATTGGCGATCGGCTCTTTTATTTAGAGGACGGGAATTATTCCACCTTATTGAATTTTGTGTTTCTCCCATTCATAAGTAATGTGAGTGCACCGTCTTTGTTTATCTAAAGCCTTTTAAAGAATGCAGAAGCTGTTAGCTGAATTTGACTTCCCTACCCAATGAAGCTTTAGAACAGGGCCGGGTCAACTCTGGCTCTCAAAATTCACTTTTCTGCTGAGTTTAGCTCCAAACTCGATCAAACTCTCCTGCCTGTAACTTTCTAGTAATCCTGCAAACCTTGATTAGCTCGTTCAGGTGTGTTTGATTAGGTTTGGAGCAGAAATCTGCAGGAAAGTGGATCTCGAAGGAGCCTGCTGTTGAGTGTGCCTCCCCTCACTTTTCAGATTGTTCATACAACCTTGGCTCTTTTTATGCCAATACTCATCAGAAGTCTGAGAAGAATATTTATGGAGGATCTCTCATTTTATAGCTGAGAAATTTTTCCAATAATTTATACAGAGTCTGGAGATAGTATGACTGGAGTTTGAATGCTGAGGGAAACATCTTACCCACGTTATTGCCGATTTTAATATTTTATGCTCTGCTGCCCTTCAATGTTAAGACGACGAGTGCTCATATAAACACACGTTTACAGCTGTCCTACCCTTGTGTTTTGTTACAGTCCCTGAAGATCTGCCCTTAGAGGAGAGAGACGAGCTGTCCAACATACGGCGCAGGAAAAAAGAACTGCTTGATGATATTGAGGTGAGAATGTAGCTGAAAAGAAAGAAAATTGGTTAATAGAATTAATAAAATATAATTGATTTAATAAAAAATAATACAACTTTTAATAAAAAAAATAAAAAAATGTATTACAAAAATTGAAAAGATTATTTGTAAAAATTAATTTGTATTTTTAAAAGAAAATATATTATTCTTAATGTATTATTAATGTATAAGTGAGCAGGTATTGCAATCTGCACATAACCTCTATTTGTCTTCATCAAATGCAGCATAAAAAGTACTTTGTTTGGTCTTCTTTTGTAAAATAGCTTTTGAACATTTGAATATGCATTTGGCAGGCAGTTTCATCCAAAGTAACTTACACTGTATTCAAGTTCCACATTTGTTGGTGGGAATCAAACCCATTATCTTGGTGGTGTTAGCAGAATGGTGCACTATTTGGGTTATAGGAGTATCATATAGAGTTTTCTGTTTGATGTGAGCCTCTGTTTTACAGCGGCTGAAGTTTGAGATCGCTGAAGTGATGACAGAAATCGAGCAGCTCACGTGTGTGGGTGAGAGGTGAGTTATGAGAGATTGAAATGTTTCCTTTTCATTACAGGCCAACTGAAGCTCATTTAGATTTGCACCTGTCTCTCTTTTGTCTGAGTGTCCGCACTGATCTGTCCTCTTCTAAACATTCATTCAGCGCTCTATTCAGAATGTGTCGCCTGGTTGATAGGTCATCACTGCTCACACACCGGAGGAGAGGACATGTGCTTATGTCTTTTATTGTGCTTACAGGAAGATGGATTGACTCAGTGTGAGGAAATGGATGTTGAATATCCAGCATTTAATAACCCAAAGTGTTTAGAGTTTAGTTTTTAGTTTCATGTCATACGGAATAAATTTTTTGTTGTTGTTGATTTTATGAGATAAAAAGTGATGAAAGGTGATGAGTACATTTAAACACACACCAATGTTTATGACATTGATGCTTACTGAGTGTTCACAAACTTAGATAATATAGGATAGATGCTGTTAGGTAAGTGTATATTCTTTAACACTATTGGCTGGATTTATGAAATATTCTTAAAAATACAGTTCATCTTAACTGCTATTTTCTTTTGTTTTAAAAATTTAAATATTGTTCCTAAGACAAACCATTTTCACTCTAAAGAAAGACATAGCCTTTGAAGTGTTTTCCATTGAGTTGATTGAGTTGTTCTTGTGAGACTTCGGCAAGAAACTATGGAAGCCCGTTAAAAATAAAAAATAAAAAAGGTAATTGCGACTTTTTATCGCACAATTCGGACTTTTTTTCTTATAATTGCGATATATAAACTCGCAATTGCGAGTTAAAAAGTCATAATTGTTAGATATAAACTCGCAATTCTGAGAAATAAAGTCAGAACTGCGAGATATAAACTCACAATTCTGAGAACATACCAATCTTTTTCCTCCCCTCAAAATTGGACTTTAACTCGCAATTGCGAGTTTATATCACGCAATTCTGACTTTATAACTCGCAATTGCGGAAAAAAAAGTCAAAATTGTGAGAAAAAAAGTCAGAATTGCGAGATATAAACTCGCAATTGTGAGAAAAAAAAGTCAGAATTGCGAGTTTTTATCTCGCAATTCTGACTTTATAACTCACAGTTGCGACTTAATGTCTCGCAATTGCGAGTTTGTATCACGCAATTATAAGAAAAAAAGTCAGAATTGTGAGATAAAAAGTCGTAATAAGCTTTTTTATTTTTTATTCAGTGGCGGAAACGGGCTTCCATAAGAAACACCCTACAGTCAGAAAAAAAGGTTCTTAAGGAAATATTTGATAATTTCTCAAGAATTTATCTTACGAAATGTCTTAACTTCTTTTTTAAGAAGTGTTTTGTGAATCCAGCCCAAGAAGAATGATAAGAGTTAAAATGGTAACGGTATGTAAAAAAAATGATGTTGTGTAGCACCTGCAGCTCTGCAGATCTTTGTGAAGGATGCAACATTCGATACTAACGGCTGAGGTTTGTTTCTAGCAATATAACGGATCATTTCAGCCTAATCGTGAGCAGCTGATTTTAGTGCAGATTGTTTAATGAATATGTCACAATGTGACAGAACTTTGCAAAGAGGCTCTTATTGAGGAATGCAGCAGTTGAAACTATATTTGACACTACTGCAAACCCACAACACCTGAGTAGACCCATAGGATTATTTACACATTTTCCGCACCAGTTTTTAGGAAAATCTGCGGAATGCAATAAGCATGTAAAACTGTGCTAAACAGAGCTAGGAGTACTACACTCTTATTGGTAGTTAACATTTTGGAATATTTATTAAATAAAGATGTTAAGTGTGAGGGATATGGTGATTTTTTTTATCGATGGCCATTATGTGAGAAACATGACAAAATATTTAAGATTAACATCATAATTATAAGTGGACCTCACTGGGAAATTAAAATAAGAGAAATATATATCAAGATAAGGCTCATAAATCAACAACTTGTGACCATAAGCAGGACTGTTTTAAAAGTGTTTAGCCACCTTAGAGTGTTTTTAGTGTTGCACTTTGTTTAAAGTTGTACTTTGTATCTACAGGCAAATCATACAAAAGGTTCTTTGTCTGCCTTCATTCTTATTAGGGGATATTTGTTAAGACATATTTACTTCCATTTGCAGCAAAACAACACAGAGAAACAAACAAATTGCAATGGGAAGAAAGAAATTCAACATGGACCCCAAAAAAGTAAGCTTCATTTTTATTATCTATTTTGTGATGACCCAGATACTTGACAATCTTCACAGACCTTAAATTCTCATTAGTTTCTAAGGATTTTAATGTTTTTAAAGCCTTTAACCTTTTCTTTATAGTATTTGTACCGAGTGATCAACATAGTGACATTTTCATCCCTGACATACTGTATTACATTTGGATATTTTCCACATAATTTTCCTGACATTTATAGGGTTGATCCTAAAATCCTTTTCTCAACTCAGATTAATCTCTTATGCAATGCCAAAATACTCATTACTGTAATATAAAAGAAACTGTAAACTAATTAAATTGTAAAGTATTTATACATAATGATAATATTTATGGTACTGCCATTCTGATCTGGAAAAAATAAATGAATAACCAAATAAAATAAAAGTTTGATTTAGGGTAAATGTGACCTGGACTTATTGAGATTCACTCACAAATAATTTTATGATGGTTTTGCTGTCTCCACACAGGCAGTTTCTCTGGAGTTTCAGACTTCCTGGTGAGGCCCAGAAGATCGACAGAATGATGGAAGCGTTTGCATCCCGGTACTGCCAGTGCAACCCCGGAGTCTTTCAGTCCACAGGTCAGACATGTGCAAAATAGATGACAGATTAAGAATGTTCCTTTAATCGTTTTATGACACTGAAATGAATGGTTGGTTTGATGGCGGTATTGATATGTCTGTGCATGTTATTGCTCTCTGCTGGGCTGTTAGTGCCACACAGACAGACTCACATGTTAAGCGCTTTGTCATCTGGCAGGCGGGCTGAGTTTAATGCTGATCTGAATACTGGCAGAGCAGACACTTGTTTAATGTCACTTGTTAAAGTTAAGAGCTCATGTCATGATGTGTTTGGAGAGTAAACGGTGACTTTGGTGTACTGAAGCTGTAAGAGAACAGCTCAGTCTGGCAGTGAAATCCCACCCACCCATATTCTCACCACACTAGTGACTCACACCCACGCTCATGTCAGGGTTTGGCTCTAAAGTAAAGCTCTAAACAAATTGCAATGGGAAGAAAGAAATTCAACATGGTCCCCAAAAAAGTAAGCTTCATTTTTATTATCTATTCTGTGATGACCCAGATATCCCACCCACCCATATTCTCACCACACTAGTGACTCACACCCTCACTTTAGAGTTTACTTTAGAGCCAAAGCCAGAGCCATGTCAGGGTTTGGCTCTAAAGTAAACTTTAATACTAAGATTTTCTTTTTCTTTAATAGCACAAATGTTCAAAATGTTAGGGTAAAAGAAGATTTAAAGGTTTATTTATGCTAATTTTCTCTATGACAAGTCTTTAAATTTAAAATAACAGTTTTCTATTTTAATATATTTTAATTTTGTTTTTTTCCCGTGATGGCAAAGCTGAATTTTTCTGCATTATTACTCCAGTCTGCAGTGTCACGTGATCCTTCAGAAATCATTCTAAAATGCGAATTAGTTGCTCAGTTATTAACATTTCTTACTATCAATGTTGAAAATGTACTCTGTTACAAACGTAACCTCGGTTCCCTGAGATACGGGAACGAGTACTGCGTCTGCTAAGACGCTATGGGAAAAAGTCCTTTTTTATCCTGAACTGAAGCCTTTTTCAATAACGCAGTGTAACTGCACGGCCATTGGTT